AACCTTTCGATTTGGAGTCCGGATGAGAAAGTTATGCTCGACTTCGTGGACACTACCGAAGATGTTGCGCGCGGGTGGGGTTGGGGGTTGGGGGGTGGGGGGTTTTGTAGGGTTGTACGGTTTCTGACAGTTAAGAGATGAAATAAGTTGACCGCGGTTTGTATATTTGGATTTAGTCAAACCCACGCAACTCGGAAAAGTTGTGCCCTTCCCACGAAATTTACTTTCATTTATTCATTCATAAACTTTCAATTTATTTCTAGATTTTTATGAAACAAATTAAATTAAAATAACATACACCGGAACTTCAACTTTTTAATGTATTTGTGTTTCAGACACGTTTTATGTCCAATACTCATGAACACCTGTCAATTATCTTATCAGCCATTTTGCAATTTTTAAAAACATAGGAACATGTTTGAATAGAAAATTTCTAAATATTTTCGATGCTTCCCCAATTATTTACATAATTTAATGATCAGTTCAAATTTATAGATATAATGGTATTTAATTCGAATGTATTTGTATGGAAATATATAAAACGAATTTTTATATAAATAAAAACTTATATATATTTATGTTGCATATTTATAAATATGTCTCTGTACTTAATTTTAGTATTTACACTTTTTTCCCCAATTCTCATATCTCCAATTCTAAATATGTATACATGAATATTAAATATGTGTAATTCATTATTCAATATTTATTTATATACGTGTAAATAATTGGTAATTTTGTTTGACAGGAAACCATATTAAATGACTACGATCCAAAATTGGAGTCATTTCAAATCCATTCCCCAAATCAAATCCCTCCCCAAATCCCTCCATCCAAATGGACCCTAAAATTAAAAAGGGGTTATTTTACATACCCCTAGCCACCAAATAAACTAGGGATAAACCCAAGCTCAAATCATTTTTTGACATACCCCTGGAGAAGCGAAAGTACTATACTACTCTTATATACAATTTTCGGCCAAACTGCATTCAACATTTCTGGTGCATTTATCATTTTTGCTGATTTATTTATTATTATTTTCCTTTTTTTTTAATAATAAACCTGTTTGTTAAATATATATATATATATATATATATATATATATATATATATATATATATATATATATATATTTTTAATTTTTTAATTTTTTAATTTTTTATTAAATAAAAAAAAAAATTAATTTTTTTTTTTATTTTTTTAATTTTGAAAACAATATGTTTACTATACTAAAAATAACTACATGTAACTATAGTAATTCGTAGTTATGTTCATTTTTTCCCCATATTTTTAGTCGATCAATCGTATACACACATGAATACTGCTTATACAAAAGAAATTCATAAAACCCCAACAAAAATTTACAAATTTTAATATTTTTATTATAAATCACCTCAGAACCAATAAAATACAAATCGAAAATACACAAAAATACGCATATGTAACTACATGTTACTATAGTAATGTATAGTAATGTACAGTAATGTATACAGTTGAACAAAGCAGATGTAACTTCAAACAAAAATTGTGACACCTTCAAGGAAATGATCAATGGCCTTCATTAAGCTGCAATTGCAAAATCAAAACAAAAAAAATTACTTTAGTGCAAATCAACAAAATTTGAAGAAACATCAAAACACTCAAAAATCAACAAACACTGAGAGAGAGAGAGAGAGAGAGAGAGAGAGAGAGAGAGAGAGAGAGAGAGAGAGAGAGAGAGAGAGAGAGAGAGAGAGAGAGAGAGAGAGAGGTTATTGCTGGAAAATGCTACATATTTTAAATCAAACAGATAGTGACTCTTCACCCCCTCGCCTCCTACCAAAACCCTAGGCGCCGGTAATAACCACCCATGGTTTCGCGCGCCCACAAATGCAAAACATTATAGAAATAAATCTGAGAACATAAAAACAACGAAATTGCCATCAAAGTATAGATCTCGACGAGAGGAATCCAACGGTGGGTAGCCCGTCAAATTTCGAAGGGTGGAACACAAAATACACCTTCGGCAAGACCACCGTCGTCGAATGAAAAAAATTGCAGAAACAGAACTGCGCTCCAAACTGAATGAAATTACCACCAAAAGAAAGAGCTTGACGAGAGGAATCCAACGGTAGTTAAACCATCGAATTCCGACCACCGGAGAGAGAGTTATGACTCCGGGAAGCAATTTCGTCGGCCGGTGGGAGGTTTGTGGAGGCGGAATTTTGAATCTGGGAGAAGAAGAGAGAGACCGAAATGTGAGTGCTAGGGTTTAAAACTGATTTTAGAAGGGTATTATAGGAACTTCAGGGTGGCCCAGGGGGTATGTCAAAATATTTTCGAAATGAGGGGGGTTTCCCCTAGAGTGTAATCCACTTGGTAGTTAGTTCTATATAATTTAAAAATGAAGGGGGGTCTACAAAATAATCCCAAATTAAAATAACAAGCACTAAAACTTCAATTTTTTAACGTATTTGTATTTTGGACACGTTTTGTGTCCGATATTCAGAAACACCTGCCAAATATCTTATGAGACATTTTGTAATTTTGAACGTAGGAGCATGTTTGAATAGAAAATTTTCACATATTTTCGGTGTTTTCCCAATTATTTACATCATTTAATGATCAATTCAAATTAATAGATGATAATGATAATTATTATTTGTGTGGAAATATATAAAAAGAATTTATATATGAATAAAAACTTATATATTTATATTGCATATTTATAAATATATTTATGTACTTTTAGTATTTGCACATTTTTCCTAAGTTTTCATATCTCCCGTTCTAAATATCTAGCACTGAATATTAAATATGTGTAATTCATTATTCAATATTTATTTTTATACGTTTACATAATTGGTAATTTTGTTTGACAGGAAACCATATTATAATTATTGACAAAGAAATTAGTTAAACAAAAAAAAAAATATATTAGCTTTCCTCAGGCCAAGTCAAATTTCTGGAAAGTTGAAATTGTAATTAACTTGCAAGTACTTTTGATGCAATAAAGCAGCTTATTATGCATGTTATTGACTTCAGATATTAATATTAATTTAACGATTAGATGTATGTTTTATAAATATTAGCAAATTTTATGATTCAATTGTTTGTAGAAAACTATCCTAAAAAAACACCAATGAGGAAAAAAAAATGCATCGTTTTCGTATGCTATTATTTATAAATGCTATTATTTATAACACGTGGATTCTTTTTAAGAATTACGGTAAATACATAGATGGTGACTGCAATAAACTCAAAAGTTACATTCAGACTTAATTTCATTTTGCACTTTTGAAATATAGTTTTTCGGCACTTGCACCCTAAAGAAATGTAAGTACTTTTACACACTCGAAACACAATAAATCATGCATGATGCACTGAAAGACTTTTATTTAATTTTATGCGGAAAACTTTAATCACAGAATCTTGAAATCAAATTCATCTTAAGAATATAATCACGTAATAGAGATTATCGACATACCGTTCGCCATGGATTCCGATAGAGACGATGAACAAGGATGATAGCAATCTACAAGCCGAGCCTAGCCAGGCCTCCTTCGAATCTCCTTGAGAACTTTATTCGTAGCACACCTTTTTCTCTCTATCTCTCTAATATCACAACTCACTAAGTGTTCTGTGATTGATGGAATTCTCAATTGTGTCTGATAGTTGAGGAGAAGAGTTGTGGATTTCTTTTATAGACGAGAGAAGAGGGCCACGATTGATTTGTAACGGCAGAAGACAAATCCCACCCATCATGGTCTTTTTATTGCCTTTAACGTTACAAATCAATTACCATAAAATCACCTTAATACCATAATTTGAATTACCCACAATTTAAAATAAAGATTAAATTCAAAGGTTAATGGGCCATTAAATAAAAATAAAACTTACATTCTCCCACTTGGCCCATTGAACCGTTTAAGAAAAACAAGTTTTAAAAAATTATTTGACTCGGTGGGTTCTTCATACAAAACATTTGACACGTGATCACGATTTTAAAAGAAAATTAAGGTGATTACTATAATAGGTAAATAGAGTACTTTAATACTAGAACTAGTTTGAGTTATTAATGTGAATCATAGCGGTTATATGATTCATTCATCATATTCCCTTCTATGTATCACGCCACTAATAACCCTTACTATTCTAATCCATAATAGCCCCTTTAATTTTGTCTTGTTAGGACAAATCCTGTTAAATCCAAATATAATATGTGCACACATAATAGGAAACAGGAAAAACAGAAACATTTGATTAAATAAATTAAGTGTCAATTACATAATTATAACTCATGAAATCATGGATTGCTCAAAAGACCCATTCTAATAACATGTTCCTCATATGTCTTTATAGGCAATCCCTTGGTTAATGGATCAGCAACCATAAGAGTTGTACTTAAATTTTCTATTGACACTTGTTGTTTCTGGACTCTTTCTTTAACAACCAAGTACTTATGATCCATGTGCTTGGATCCACTTGAATACTTTCCATTCTTAGAGAAGAAAACGGCTGCGGTGTTATCACAATATATCTTCAAAGGCTTAGCAATTGAGTCAACAGCCTTAAGCCCTAAGATAAAATTTCGCAACCACAGTGCATGACTCGAGGCCTCAAAACATGCTACAAACTCAGCCTCCATTGTGGAAGAAGCAATAATACTTTGCTTTACGCTCTTCCAAGAGATTGCTCCACCAGCTAGTAGAAATACAAAGCCCGATGTGGACTTTCTACTATCTACACAACCAGCAAAATCGGAGTCTGAATAACCAA